ACTTTTATTCATTTTACCTAGAAAAACTTTTTTTTATTTTATTCTAGTTTGTGTTTAACTTTTGTATACATGTTTTTGTTTAAGAAAAATAAAGTGAGCAACACATAAAAATTGGTACCCATTAAACAGTTGGCGCCTTTTTTTAAGTGGCCCCACACGGAAACGCCCGGAAACCCGGCGGTTCGACGGACGCTGCGTCCGTCGGCGTGGTGGGAACGTCCTGTGGCGCCGCTCCGGCTCGCCGCCCAAGACAACATTCGGCTATTTAAGCCGGCCGCGTCCCGCAACCCAAACCCATCCCCCTCTCCGCGCCACCTGTCTGAGCCCTTCCACGTCCTCCCACTCTCGCTCCGGCGCTCTGCACACGCTCCGGCACTCCAGCATGGTTCAGAGCAAGATCACCTAGTATACCATGCTGACACCAGAGCACCGCTACGAGATCCAACAGCAGATCTGGGCAAGGGAAGCCGCGCGCTTCTCCCGCATCGCTGCCGGGCTGCCTCCGGACTCGCCGGAGCCGGAGGAGGAGGAGGAGCAGCTGGGGGAAGAGGAGGAGGAGGGGCGGCCGGGGGAAGAGGAGGAGGAGGAAATGGCTATGATGGAGGGCGGAGGAGCCGGACCAGCAGGTGTCGGCCTTCAATATAGAGCAGGTGGAGGCGAAGTTCGCCATCGCCCAGTCTGACGAGATGGCCGAGCATTAGGCCATCCTGGAGTCCATCTAGAATGAGGCCTACTTGGAGGCCAACCGGACGCTCCTCTGGCGTTAGCAGGCGGAGACCGACGCGCTCTTCGACGAGCTCTATGCGGAGATAGAGACGGAGGAGGCCGGAGCGGAGCAGCCGAAGGAGCCGGAGCTGCAGCTGCCACCCATGCTGCCGGAGCCGGGCAGGGAGATTATCGTGATTTCCGACGAGGAGTAGGTAGGATTGACGTAGAACATAGATTCTACTTCTTTTGCATGTCTTTGTACGGATATAAGAATCTAGTATAAGATGTCTGAATATAAGAATCTAGTATAAGATGTCTGGCGTGTGAGGGTCCGGATTTGCCATATTTGGTTGTAGATGCTCTTACACCCAATCCAACTGGGGCCTCATATGATTACAACGCACGAACGGATAGGATCTACTTTTGGAATCGTCAACAACCATTATTTTTGTGTTTTTTTATCTTCCGGCCAACTGAATTACTACCTCCGTCTCAAAATAAGTGTTCCAACTTTGTATTAAAGTTAAGACTTGAGACACTTATCTTGAAGCGGAGGAAGTTTTTTTTAGGAAGGAGGGAGTATTATTTTAGTTCAATCACATTTTTTTCCTTTTTTGTGTGTGTTTGCTTGTTTTTTCTTTCTTTTTCTACTCGGATATTCTTTCTTTGAGTGTATGTCTGTGTCCCGTGCATGTGGGCTTGTGTGAGTTTGTGGGTGTGCTTGCCATATATTCCCTTCGTCCGGAAATACTTGTCATAAAAAATGATAAAAAACGATGTATTTAAAAATATTTTAGTTCTCGATACATTTTTTTATCCATTTTGATGACCAGTATTTTCAGACGGAGGCCATCGACATGAAATATGTCGATTAATGTCCATCCTACACAAATAAGTAGTACTATGCAACAGACCATTGTCAAAAAAAAGTACAACTATGTGCTTGTTCTTGCGAATTGTCATATTATGAAAAGGTACAATTCTTGTGCAACTTATGTAAGGTTTTGCTATCATTTGTTTTATTTTTTTTCATATTTGTAAGAGTAATGCAAATGACTTTTATTCGTTTTACTTAGAATTTTTTTTATTTTATTCTAGTTTGTGTTTAACTTTTGTAGACATGTTTTTGTTTATCAAGAAAAGAAAAGTGACTGGCACATAAAAATATGATACCCATTAAATAGTTGCCGCCTTATTTTGAGTGGTCATTGATTTGCTCCCCTCCTCCCCTTTCTTTTACCTTTTTATCTTAAACCGATCTTTCGCTGCTTTTAAATGATTCCCTACCATGGGGCGGATCCAGAATTAAGGTATAGAGAGGGGGCCACCGTAAAAAAATGTCGATTGATATCATTATATTCTAACTAACTAATTGCCCGTGTGTTGCCACGATGGCATACATATATTCTAGCATTAGAGCATCTACAACCGAACCGCTCAAACCCGTCTCAAACATCCCGGCAGGCCGCCTGGTCGCTGTCCGGTCATAAAATTTGGACCCAGACGGGCCCCTCAAACGGTCCTCAAATGCCCAGGCTGACTGGCACCCCCCATATCCAGCCCAAATATGGGACGGATAGGGTGCTCGGGCGCACCTGGGCACGCCCGCCACGTCGGCCTGACTGCGTGGCCCCACACGGAAACGCCTGGAAACCCGGCGGTTCAACGAACGCTGCGTCCATCGGCGCGGTGGGAACGTTGCATGGCGTCGCTCCGGCTCGCCGCCCAAGACAACATCTGACTATTTAAGCCGACCGGCGTCCCGCAACCCTAACCCATCCCCCTCTCCGCGCCACCAGTCTGAGCCCTTCCACATTCTCCCACTCTCGCTCCAGCGCTCTATAGATACTCCGGCACTCCACCATGGTCCAGAGCAAGATCACCTACTATGCCATGCTGACGCCGGTGCATTGTTACGAGATTCGGCAGCAGATCCGGGCGAGGTAAGCCGCGCGCGTCTCCCGCATCGCTGTCGGGCTGCTTCCGGACTCGCCGGAGCCAGATGATGAGGAGGAGCAGCTGGGGGAGGATGAGGAGGAGGAGGAGATGGCTCCAATGGAGGCGGAGGAGCCGGACCAACAGGTGTCGGCCTTCGCCATGGAGCAGGCCGAGGCGGAGTTCGCCGTCGCCCAGTCCGACGAGATGGCCGAGCAACAGATCATCCTAGAGTCCATCCAGGATGAGGCCTATGTGATGGCCAACCGGGTGTTTCTCCGGCGTTAGCTGGCGGAGACCGGTGCCCTCTTTTATGAGGTCGACACAGCAATAGAGGTGGTGGAGTTCGAAGCGGAGCAGCCGGAGGAGCCGAAGCTGCAGCTCTCGCCCATGCTGCCGGAGCTGGGCACGGAGATCGTCGTGATCTCCGACGAGGAGTAGATAAGATCGACGTAGTACGTAGGTTCTACTTCTTTTGCATGTCTTTGTATGGATATAAGAATCTAGTATGAGATGTCCAGATGCAAGTAGTGAAATTTGTGGCGTGCCCGGGCACTGCCAGCGGACGCGCTCGGGCGCGTCCGGGGGCGTGTGAGGGACCGGATTTGCCATATGTGGTTGTAGATGCTCTTACATTCATAAAACACATATTGTAGTGATCATTACATCAAATGCTCGACGATAATATCCATAATTAAGGTCCAGATTGATACTGTTTTGGGTATATGGTTCAATTAGTAGAGGATCTTACTATTAGTTTGTTTGAATTGCAATTATAATCCTTCTTCAAACCCATTTCTTAATACCATGTGGAAATCCTAGTTGAAATTGATGTTAATTCTAGTATGATAAAAATGCCATTGTTGAGGTTTACCGCCTATGTCCGCTTTAGATTGGATGTAAATTTTGTGTGGTGCCCAATATTCAATTCAATCTTAAGCTAAATACCAGGAATACACTAATTTTACACACAATCCAAGCGGGGCCTCATATGGTTACAACGCATGAACGGATAGGATCTACTTTTGGAATCATCAACAATCATTACTTTTGCGTATTTTGTATCATCCGGCCAACTGAATTACTATCTTCGTCCCAAAATAAGTGTCTCAACTTCGTACTAAAGTTAAGACTGGAGACAATTATTTTGGGACCGAGAGGTTTTTTTTTAGGAAAGGAGGGAGTATTATTTTAGTTCAATCACATTTTTTTCCTTTTTTGTGTGTGTTTTCTTGTTTTTTCTTTCTTTTTCTACTCGGATATTCTTTCTTTGAGTGTATGTTTGTGTCTCGTGCATGTGGGCTTGTGTGAGTGTGTGGGTGCGCTTGTCATATACCATTGACATGAAATATGACGATTAATCTCCATTGTACACAAATAAGTAGCACTATGCAACATACCATTGTCAAAAAAAAATGTAAAGCCATGTGCTTGTTCTTGCGAATTGTCATATTGTGAACAGGTACAATTCTTGTGCAATTTATCTAAGTTTTTTCCATCATTTATTTTATTTATTTTCCATATTTTTAAGGCTAATGCCAATGACTTTTATTCATTTTACCTAGAAAAACTTTTTTTATTTTATTCTAGTTTGTGTTTAACTTTTGTATACATGTTTTTGTTTAAGAAAAATAAAGTGAGCAACACATAAAAAATTGGTACATAAACCGATCTTCCGCTGCTTTAAAAAGGTGCCACCGGTAAAAAAAATGTCGATCGATGTCATTATATCCTAACTAACTAATTGCGCGTGCGTTGCAACGGCGGCATACATATATTGTAGTGTTACTCCCCTAAAAACAGATTGTAGTGATCCTTACATCAAATGCTCGACGATATTATCCATAATTAACGTCCAGATTGATACTTTTTTGGGTCTGTGGTTCAATTAGTAGAGAAACTTACTATTAGTTTGTTAGAATTGCAATTGTGACCAGTTTTCAAATCCATTTTGTAACACCATGTGGAAATCCTAGTTGAAATCGATGTTAAAATCTAGTATGAAAAGAATAGCATTGTTGAGGTTGGAAACGTGATGCCTTCAAAGCCGTCCGTAAGTGAAGGGATTTTTGTTTGCAAAGCCGTCCAAATCCATCATTTTCACAGGTTGTCAACGAACAGTGACGTCCTTTGATTTGTCTGCTTTCCTTGTAAAAATATATATTTGATGTGGATTCATGGAGTGCACGACACGCACTCGAGTTCAGTACCAATAATTTCTGTATTAAGCAAATATAGGAGTAGCCCTTTTCCCCAAAAGTAGAAGCCGGGAACTCTACAAATACCTCTAGTACTACTCTGCTCGCTTCCCAAATCGAGAAGAAGGCGACTATCTACAACTTGACAGTATCGCTAAATTAGTCGAACAAGCAGCTCCATAGCGGCGTCTGGACGCCGCTCTGCTCGCCGCTCTCCGGCCTGGCTCTTTCGTCCGGCGGCGCCACGAGCATCCCCTGCGCCAAGCTCGCGTAGTACGACCCGGCCTCCATGCCGCCAAACCACTGCTCCTCGTCCAGCTCCAACAGGTCGCCGGAAGACATGTAAAACTCGGGCGCCAGGCACGCGACTGGAAGAATGATCTGCTGCTGCTGGAGCGCCACGACGGCGACGGCGACCGGAACTGGCAGCTTCTGGAGCGCCACCACGGCGACGGCGACCGGAACCTGCTTCTGCTGGAGCGCCACCACGGCGACGGCGATCGGGACCTGCTTCTGCTGGAGCGCCACGACGGCGACGGCGACTGGAAGAACAATCTGCTTCCGCAGGAACGCGACGACGGCGACAGCGACGGCGGCCTTGATCTCGCTCGCGCTGCCGAAGCCGAAGGAGCCGGCCGCGAGCACGGGCAGCATGCGCCATGCGGAGTCGGCGAAGTTGAGGCAGGCGGCGCGGCCGGAGAGCGCGAGCACGGCGGCGTCGTGCGCGCGCGCCGCCATCTCGGCCGTGTTGAAGGTGCCGAGCCAGAGCCTGGAGCCCTTGATCCCGGGCACGCGCACCTCGCACACCCACTGCCCGACGCGGCCACGGCGCCGCACGCCGCGGTACAGCGGGTGGCGCGTCTCGTGGAACTTGGTCCGCCCCGCGGGCCGCTTCGGCGGCTCCGACGACACCGTCCGGTGGCCCTGCTCCTGCTGGCCGGACGGGGAGGCGATGTCGGCGACGTCCATCTGAGTCGAGAGCTGGCGGAGACGCTCGTGGGAGGTGTGGAGCGGGAGTACTGGAAGAATCAGCGGCTGTGTTGGGAGGTTTTGATGGATCGGTAGATGGAGCTTGTTTGAGAAGAAGGGGAATGGAGGCGGGGAGCATATATAGGCGAAGGCAAGCGGTGGTTTCCTGGAAATGGCAAGTGGCTGAGAAGGAGTATGTGTATGTCACACTCTCACGCTGACACTTGCACCGGAGCACAAGGGAGCTTCATGGCGCGCCCCTATTTGTTTTACTATCATTTCCGCGACGCGCATCTCTTGGTTGCTCTTCAAGCTTTAGCTGGATGAGATGTGATGGGTGGTGCGTTTACGGCTTTTGTTTAAACATGCTTCACAAATACATACACACACATATACTATCATTTCCGCGACGCGCGTCTCAACTTGCCGACACATTTGGTCCGCGCGTGTTGGTTTGGACCCAAACCGACAGAAGCAACAGCCCAACGCGCCGACCCATCTGTAGATTTGATTTGCATCCACCCGGACGCGAGACGAACGCGCCGCGTGTCCTCCCGGAGTCCGACTCAGGCCCGTGTGTCGGCCCCAACCATCCACATCGGGCCCACACGTCAACCACTAGAAGCGTCCATGTCACGTCCCT